TGCAGGCCAGCCCTGCACCGCTCCTAATGAGCTCTTGTCCAGCCCCTGGACACTTGCCTCTCCCCAGGGCCATCACACACCCCTTCCTGCCTTCTCCGAACCGCAGTCTCCCACTGCCTCCTGGCAGGGGGCTGGAGGGAACGGAGGCGTGGCAGGGCCTCCAGCCCAGCTGGTAGTCTTCTATTTGAGGGAAGGAGGTTGGAAACATGGCGGCTCGCTTACGGAGGAGAGTGACTCTCCATTCTGGATTCTCTGAGATCTTCAGGAGGTGAGGAGGGCAGAGGGTCCCAGGCCTCTGGAGGAGAAGATGCTGCGGGGGTGGAGCTCGTCTCCCCTGGAGCAGACCCCATGCTGACTCAGCATGATTGCGGTACTCCTCTGGGGGAACCAGCCAGGTCCCCGCTTCATGCTGTAAGCGGAGTCCTCCTTGGGAGGAGAGAAGGAATTCAACAGGCCCTGTTCTCGGGGCAGGCCTCACACCGGGCACCTCAGCCCATCCCCTGTCCACCCAGCTTGTGCTGACCGCTGCTCCTGCAAGCTCCTCAGATGTATGGACGCTTTTACTCCAACCTCCACATTTCAGTACTTGCCACAAAGCACTAAGAAGGGAAAAACTCAGATCCAACATCTGTTCCAAACCGCGAATCCCACAGGGCCTGTGGATGTTAGCAGCTGGGTCACAGCACCGGCCTCCAGGAGACCACAGGGGCTGGGGGCAGGCTCCTGGGGAGATGCCACCGTGCTTGATGTTTTCAGACTTTCTCCTCCTGAAGCGTGTTCACATCCATCCATCCGCTGCCGCCCCGTTTGCTGGTCTGGCGTCACCGGACATGCGAGGCTACTGGGCCCATGGCTGACGCTCAGTCACCACAACGCAAGAGCCAAGGTTCACCATTGTTTGGCTTGAATTAATACAAGGTTCAATGTGCGCAGTGCACAGGTGATGGGGCTTCCCCCTTGGACGGCGCAGGGCTGAGCGGCATCCCGGATGCCCTGCAGGCCCCTCCGAACCCCAGCTCCCTTCCTGAAGCTCCACGGCCCTCGGTCCTTCAGAGCCGCCCTCTGCTGCCCTCGGCGCCTGCCTGCTGGGTCCCCGCTCTGGGAAGGCACCTGAGCAGCCCTCATGGGCAGCCAGGGGCCCAACTGGGTGAGGACACGTCCAGCCACACTCATCACCACCTGCCAGGAGCCCGGGCTCCATGTCCCCACTCCTGCAACACCTCTGCCCTAAGTCCTCAGTGTCGGGGGCCCCTGCACTCTCAGTTGCTCCTTCAGATGCACCAGCGCCCCTGAACTCATGGCAAAAAAACCACATTCACAGAATAGTTATGTTCATATCCAAAAACAGAAATAGTACAGGAAAATGGGAAATGTGGATGAGGAGCCCAGAACTGATGAACAGATATGATGGTATCAGTTTCTTACGCTGCCTAACACACACCACGACCTACTGTGTTACGGTGTTAAAGCAAGAGAGTTTGTCCTCTCGGTCTCAGAGGCCAGAAGTCACGACCCCGGCGGGCTGCGGGTGGGGAAGGCGGTTTGGGGCGCCGCCTCGTCTCTGCCCTTTGTCACACGTCCTTCCTCTGTGTCTGGGTCCAAATGCCCCTCTTCTCCCTCGTGAGGACACAGGACAGGCCTCCCCAGCCCTCCAGCACCACGTCATCTTGACCTGAGGGTGCCTCACAGGCCCAGCTTCCCATTGGGTCCTGTCGGGTCTGGACTCAGGGCATCAGCATCCTCTGGGGACATGACCACCCACAGCGATGATTTATAGCAGACTGATCCCTGAGCTTCTGGGAGATGAGCATCCAGGCCTCCCCACAGGGGGCACCAGCCACGTTTTCATAAACATCACTCTCACCCACACCAGAGGGGCACTTGCCCAAGAGTGGAGCCCCTCGATTTAGCAGTACAGTCCCCACACTGCCAGGAAAAGCACAGCTGACCCTCTGAAGGCCGTCCCTGTGGGCGGTCCAACTCCACACCTGCCCTCAGGCTCCACGGTGACTCCGGGCAAACAATGGGTCAGAACTGCATGATAACAGCAGTCCTTTTCAGGAGCGTGTGCAAGCCCCTCAATCCCCATCGGTGACGGGGGGGAGACCCCAGCAATCCTGTTATAGCTGCTGGCTAGGCGCCAAGACCCTCACAAACAGCTAATTCACCCATGATGCCATCAAAATGCATGGGTGGTGGGGCACCACGCAGGAGAAACATGGTGATTGCAGAGCCTGCTACTCTCCCGTCTGGCCCACAGCCCCATGCTAATTAACATCCATGAGTGGGAGACCCAAAGGCCCAACTCTCTGGGTGCAGAACCTCCTGTTCCTACACTGCCCTCTCTCCAAGGCTCACATTTGGCACCAAATGGTTTGGGAGAAACTCCAAATCTGGATCATGGACTGAGAAAGGCCTTCAAGGACAGCCCTTCACACTGAAACAGGAGCAGATCAGACAAGTAACGGAAGGCAGGGGTTCCCTGGGCATCAGAGGACACCCTGTGTGCCCAGCACCCGCCCTGAGGTCCTAGGAAGCCAGTTCAAAGCTGGCTGCTCAGCGGGTGTGACACGCGCCCTTGTTAACGCCGGCCCCTCATGTCTGCCTGCAGTGCCGCACTCCCATCCCCCACGGCACAGGTGACACGGCCCCAGAGTTCCCGCGTGAAGGCGGCGTTGGCGTGGGAATCCGTGCGCTGTGCAGGGAGGTGTGCTGTCCTTACGAGGATTTTAGCAGCAATGGTGAAATCGCAAACAGTGAGACAACAAGATACCAGAACAGCAAACGCGCGTTTCCTGGGACAGAGACTGAGCCAGAGCCTTTCACCAGGCCGGGGTCTGTGGTTCCCGATCCCCAGCCGCTTCCGGGTCGTGAGCAAACCTCGGAGCAATACAACCCCACGGGTCCTGTGTCTCTCTAACCACCGCCCCACCCTGGGAATTGTATGTACTGAGCTATTTTCATGGCAACGTCCCCCTGAAGGGAGTGCCTCTGGTGGGCGGGGGGATGCTGTTCCGTTGCTCAGTCCTGTCTGGTTCTTTGTGACCCTGCGGACTGCAGCAAAGCAGGGGCAAGTCCTAATAAAACGCTGGGCCCCCACCCCCTCCGTCCCCTCTGAAGCCCTGGCAGTGTTTGCCCAGAGCCCTCCCGGGAGTTCCTGGTGGAGCCGCGGCCATCCTGGGGCCCAAGTACAGGCCCTGGGGCAGAGACCGGTTAACTCCTTGCTGCTGGGAATCTGGATCCTGGACCTTTCCGGGCCCCTCCAGGAGAAGTCTGGCTTTCATCAGCGATGTCTCCTTAAAGGCTGCTGGGTCTCCCCCTGCCAGGACTCCGCCCCCATCGCACTGAGACCCCCCCCCAGAGTCACTCCCCAGCAGGACCCGCCGCGTGGACTTGGCCCTGAGATCCCTGGACCAGCTGGGACCCTGGCACCCGGTGAGGTTGGCGCGAGTGGCCGCTAGATGGCACTGCGCCCTCGCTGGGGACCCGGCCACCCAACACCGAGCGGAGGCTGCCTACCCAGGGCACTTCCAAATTTGAGCCGCGCTGGGATGCAGTCACAGGATCGGAATGGGAGCAGCACAGAGCAGGCTGTGTGCACAAAACACATCCATCTCTGGGCCTCTGTCTCCTAATTTAGTTCCCAGCTCCGGCTGCAAGGCACCATTAGTTTGTCATTTCCGGCCAGCGGTTCAGTTAACTGGAAACTAGGAGAAACCACTGAAGACTGAAATCTGATTCTGACACTCCGCGTGGGTCCAGGAATCCCTGTGTGAAACTGTTTGCAGCTCATCCTGCTGCTGGGCACCATCCGCATGCTGACGGACGTCTGGGGACACGGAGGCCCTCCCTGGCTTCCATGTGGCTGGGCCGCCTCCGCCTTTCTGTCCACCCTGGCTGTCCATCACTCCCTCTGACCACTCAGTGTTCTGGTGGGAGGGTCGCGGTAGACAGTCACCCGCAGCACACAGCTTTCAATCCACGAGCGTCCTGGAGCCCCTGCCCAGGGACATGCTGGCCTCCGATCAATGGGCCTGGTCTGACGGCCCCAGGGGTGCAAACAGGAAGCAACCTGTTTTTCCTGCTGCCCCTTCCCCTGTGGATCTAGAAGCTTCCTGAGCGAGTCTGGGGCCCAACAAGGTTCTGGGAGAAGTGGCAGGCAGGGCGGTCACCCGGGCTCCAGGGAGAGCCCTGCACATTCGTCAGAGACAAGCTTCCCCTCGAACCCACAACTCGGAACTTCCTTGTTGTATGAAGACCTGTGCCCCCACCGAACACTTGCCGAAAGCACATCGGGAAAGTGTTAGAGAAGGCGTCAGGGGAGCCCTTCCGGAGGGCTCACTGGGCCGATGCAGACGCTACAAGCGTGTTCCCTGGTCACTCTGTGCTCTGCCCCTGGGTGGAGTGGGTCCTGAGCACGGACCCAGAAAGTAAGAAACGGGGAGAGGCGTCCTGCAGAGACACAGCTCAGTCCCGGGGCCCAACCCAGGGTGCAGACTACACAGGGGACCTGGGCACGCGCGTGAGGAGACAGCGAGGTGCCAGACCCCGGTGGTCAGGGAGTCGGCAGCTGTTTGCACCAGGTGGATGAGAGGCGGACCACTGAGAGGTTACTGAACTCCCAGTAACTGTGGGGAAGGGCCCTGCTGAGTCAGCATGAGTCTGGGGGCTCCTCAGACCACCCTTTCACTTTGGTACATTTTGCATCCAACCCTTGTGCGGGTTTGAGACTTTCCGTAAGGAAGTTTTTAAAGAAGGGGGCTCCTCCGTAAGAGTCCCGGAAACCCTCAAAGGCGGACGCGGCCCGAAGGGGCTGGTCTGCCTCCCTGCAGCCCGGCGGCCAGACCTCGGCCCGGCCTCGCCGCAGCCCTGAGGTCCTGGCCAGCCCGAGCTCCGAGGTTCCCGCCATGCCTGCCCGCCGCCAGGCGGGGCCCCGGGCTGCTCCCCCTGCCTGGGGTCTCCCAGCGCGTGACTCACGTCGTCTCCTGTCTCGCCCCCAGCTTGTCGGGATGCCCGCGGGCCACGTCCGCCATGAAGAAGGCGAAGTTGTCGGGAGAGCAAATGCTGACCATCCGGCAGCGAGCCAGCAATGGTAATGGCGCCCCCGCCCGGCCTCCCTGCCTGCTCCCACCCCGCCCCTCGTGCGGGGCGGCTCCGGGCACTCCCGCCTGCCCAGAGCCAGTCCGCTGGGGCGGCCTCCCGGGGGCGGAGTCAGGGGTCCCCCGGCCACACGCAGCCCACCTCCAGCCGCCTGTCCTCTGGGGCCTAACCTCGCGTCCGTCTGTCCATCCAGACATCTGGATGTCTTGCAGGGGCATAGAGGCGCAGGCGGGCAGCCCCGTGCGCACACCCGGGCACCAGTCCAGTCCCAGTCTGTCCTCGCGGCCCCCAGATTCCTCAGCAGTGAATTCGCCTGCAGAACACTCAAGTCTGTGTTCTGACCCCCAGTCAGCCCTCTGGGGGCTTCCAGGCCCCCGGGGCACAGGCGGGGGCAGGGGGAGCCCCTGGTCAGCTCCTCGCAGGGCACCGTCCCAGCCTCCTCCTACCGGGGGCTCCTAATCAGGGTCCTCCTCCCTGCGCAGTCCACGGGCGCTGTGTTTTTCCAGCCTGTGTGTTGTCCTGTTGGAGACATCACGGTTTAAGAGGCACCAGGGCAGGGCTGTGGGGCTGTGTGGTGTCCTGGCGGTGACGAGGCTGTGACAGGCCATGGGGAGAAAGCGTGAGAGTCCGGCTTCGTCTCAAGGCTGCTGGCCGCGAGTCCAGTGTGAGTGGACCGGCACACACGTGAAACAAGGACGTGTCTGCAACAAACACACGGACGGACGCGCTGACCACAGCTCTGCTGCCAAGGCTCGAGGGGGGCTGAGCGCGTGTGTCCCCAAGAGGGGCAGTCCGTGGTCACTGGGGCGGTGTTTGCGTGTGTCCCTAGGCGCTGAGGTTCTGTGGTCACTGGTGAACGGAGCTCAGCGAAACTGTGATCAGGAGTTAGCAAAGTGGCCAGTGAGAGCCTCCCCTTCCAGACCCCTCCGGAGGACTCTGGGGAGCGGGGCTCGTGCAGAGCAGGTTATCTGTTCAAGTCATGGGTCCAGGCTCTGGGCAAGGCACCTCCCTAACTCTGTGGCCCCAAAGGCATGGTCACCCCGGGCTAGAAGCCCGGGCGCATCACAGGAGCCCGGCCGCCAGTACTGGGTGGGGGTAGAGCCAGGCCCCTCCTCCCCCACTTCCTGGGCTGGGGTCCAAGGATTCGGCCCTGCCACGTGCTGGCCTGATGGTGTCGGCAGCCTTAGCCGCCATCTGGAAGCTGCTGTCGCTCACTGGACATTCATTTTCAGTCCTGAGTATAGCTCAAGGTGTGCAGAGATAACGGTCCTTAACACGGGCCCCATCATCTACCAGGAAGGCAGCCAGGGCCACAACGCCTCACCTGAAGTCTCGGTCCCATGAGCCCACATCTGTTCAAGGCGGGCGGGGGCTCGAGACGCAGGACCAGTTGGACAGGAGCCTTCAGACCAGCCCACCAGCCTGAGGAGCTGGTCTAGAGACTCCAAGGTCACCAACATCCTGTCTCACTCAGCCATCGAGGGGCGCATTGCCCCAAGGAAAGCCATATCCACTGAGCTCTTTCCGAAATGTTTAGCCCGACATCTCACCTGCAAACAACCCTGGAGCTAAAGCAAAACTCCTTCTGCAAACTGATGTGAGCCCACTCCAGCTTCTGACTCTGGACAGATGGAGCAGTGTAGACACAGCCAGATGTGCAGCGAGCAGGCCTGCAAACTGGAGGAGGAGCCTTCCCCCGGTGGGGCGGCTGGAGTGTGGGGAGGCCCTGGCTGGTGTCTCTCCTGTGGGACGTCTGACCCTCAGAGTCCTCCTTCCGTGTCGGCCAAGCACAGCTGGGAACCAGAAAGGGCGGGCGCCACATGGAAGAGGAGCCCCGGTTTCATCTGGCTGGACGCCCGACTGCAGGCCCAGCCGGGTCAGCGGGGGTGGCCTCGCGGGTCGCCATCGGCTCATCTCTGCATCCGAGCTCAGCTCCATGACTCTAGGTTTCAGAACGTGTCTTCCTGCTGTAGGTTCTGTCACACACTTGTCCATAGACGAGGACCCTGGGAGCCCAGGTCACCGGGAGATGAAGCTCCAGAGTCAGGTCAAACCCAGGTCTCCCCAAGCCCAGTCCGTGTGGAGCCTGGCCTGACGGTGCCCTCGCTCCACACCTGCTGGGGGCACCTTTTCTGGCAGGACTAGAGGCATTTCTTACTGAACCCAGAGCTGAACGCGTCTCTCCGTGGATAAATGGCCTCATCCCTGTGTGTCTGACCCAAGGGCAGGACTCGGGAGATTCGCTCCTCTCTTTGGGGGGCTGGGGGTCAGTGGTCACTGCCCACGTCAGCCATGCCTGCCCGCCGCAGTCGAAGTCAAGGCCCCCGCCATGAGTGAGGAAGAGACGACCGCTCTCCCTTCTCGGAGAATCCGGAGAGTACGCCTTGTCCAAGGGCACTCACTCCTCGACACCCTGTCCGCTTACGGTCAGGGAGCACTGCGGCCAGGCCCGCCTGAAGCTCCGGGCTGACTTGGGCCAGCGCCTCTGGTCCTGAGTCCGGGCGTTCTCCCCCAGGCGTTCATCTGAATGGGAAGGAGCATGTCTGAAGGTCCCAAAGTCTCCGTTTCCAAAGTCCAGGGTTCTCGTTTTCTTTCTGAAGTTTAGAGAAGAGCCTGCTCTGGCCTCTTCCCCCAAAGACCCTCATTGTTCTGAGTGTCCCCCATCGTCTCTGAGCAGCTGGTGCCCCGCACAGTTATCGGGGTCTCCTCTGGGACCCCCCGCACACATTCACTGCGGGCCTCTGAGCCTCCTCCCCGGAGCCGGGCGGCCGGGGCCTTGGGGCTTTGGATTTTCAGTTGTTTGTGTGTGGTTTTGGTTTTTGGTTTTGGTCAAGCCTTCGGGAGGGAAGCTGGAGAAGGGAATGGCAACCCACTCCAGTGTTCTTGCCTGGAGAATCCCACGGACAGAGGAGCCTGGCGGGCTACAGTCCGTGGGGTCGCAAAGAGTCGGACACGACTGAGCGACTAACACACACTATCAGGAGAGAAGGAAATGAAGTAACTCCCCTCCCCTCTTGTCTGCTGTCAGGGGTGCTGAGCTGAGGGAAGGGCCCCTCCCTGCCTGCAGCTCTGTCCCGGGGTTTTGTGCACCGATTCATTTATATCCCCAACAGCCCGAGCCCGGGTCCTGACGTTCTCCATTACCTGGAAAGAAAAGGAGACTCAGAGAGGTGAAGGCGGGAGCAAAGGCAGGTGACCTGTGCTCTGAGGGGCGACCTGGCTTCTGAGGGGCGACCTCTGCTCTGAGGGGCGACCTCTGCTCTGAGGGGTGACCTGTGCTCTGAGGGGCAACCTGGGCTCTGAGGGGCGACCTGTGCTCTGAGGGGCGACCTGGGCTCTGAGGGGCGACCTGGGCTCTGAGGGGTGACCTGGGCTCTGAGGGGTGATCTGAGTTCTCAGGGGTGACCTGGATTCTGAGGGGTGACCTGGGTTCTCGGGGGTGACCTGGGTTCTGAGGGGCGACCTCTGCTCTGAGGGATGACCTGGGTTCTGAGGGGTGACCTGGGCTCTGAGGGGCGACCTGTGCTCTGAGGGGTGACCTGGGCTCTCAGGGGTGACCTGGGCTCTGAGGGGCGACCTGGGCTCTGAGGGGCGACCTGTGCTCTGAGGGGCGACCTGGGCTCTGAGGGGTGACCTGGGTTCTCGGGGGTGACCTGGGTTCTGAGGGGCGACCTCTGCTCTGAGGGGCGACCTGTGCTCTGAGGGGTGACCTGGGCTCTCAGGGGTGACCTGGGCTCTGAGGGGTGACCTGGGTTTTCGGGGGTGACCTGTGCTCTGAGGGGTGACCTGGATTCTGAGGGGTGACCTGGGTTCTCAGGGGTGACCTGGGCTCTGAGGGGTGACCTGGGTTCTCGGGGGTGACCTGGGTTCTGAGGGGCGACCTCTGCTCTGAGGGGCGACCTGTGCTCTGAGGGGTGACCTGGGCTCTCAGGGGTGACCTGGGCTCTCAGGGGTGACCTGGGTTTTCGGGGGTGACCTGTGCTCTGAGGGGTGACCTGGATTCTGAGGGGTGACCTGAGTTCTCGGGGGTGACCTGGGGGCACACCCACGTGGATGGCTTTGGGAACGTCATTACCAGACCCTCAAACTCCTCCTGACTCTCCAGAATCTGACAGACTGAGAACCCACCGGTCATGAGCCTGCCCTTCCCCCGACCCCAGTCCCCACTGTCAGCTAAGGAAGGACTCACCTGGCCAGGAAGAGCCCTGTATGAGGGGCTCCTGAGGGCGCCTCCTGGGAGGCAGAGGGCAGGGGAGCGGGGGAGCAGGGCTGAGTTTCGGGAGGGACAGGGAGGCGGCCTGTGCTCCGCAGTGCATCCATGCATCCGCCTGCCCTCTCATCCATCCACCATCCACCCATACACATGCCTGCTAACCACCTAGAGCAAAAATTAGAGGTACGAAGGTTGTCATGGGGGCCCAGGCTGATGTTTTTGTTGGATTTAAAGTGATGACGACCTCCATTGGAAGACTGATCTGATCTGCAAATTGTTTTGATAATGAAGCCTGATTTGCCACTTAATTTACAGTAGATTGTTTTCATAAACACTTGACCCAAGGCTTTGATGGAAATATATTGAAGGTACTCTGCAACATACAATTTTCTAGAAATATATACATTTTTGACAACTATTTAACATCACAATAAAAAGCTTTAGGTGGCAATTTTAGGGCTTGTGAAGGAGAGGTGTGTCTTTTATTAATTTTTTAACTCAAAAAAAGTATTGAAGCCCACTGCACTAGAGCAGACGCAGTATTTTCTTTTTTTTTTTAGCTATTTTAGCTATTCTTTTAGCTCCCATGACTGGGTCAGCAGGACAAAACCAGTTTGCGCTACTTTCTGGTCGGAGCAGAGATGTGCCCACAGAGGTCTGGTGCTGGCGGGCTGCTGGGACGGCGGCGTCTGACGCTGTTCTTGGGCCCGTTTGGCGAGTCTCGCTGAAGGTCAGGTATCTGACCTACAGTTGGTTTCTTAGAGCCACTGTGTCTGACAGGGACCTTTTGTGATGCAGGCATTTGGGGTTTTGAGGGATTAAGGAGAGTAGTCATCACCGGACTTGTAAGTAGCAGATATGGACTCAGATTCCAGGTCTGTATGTTTGGAAAGCTGGCCTTAAACCCCAGACTGCTAAACCTCTCATCAGGGCAGCTCGGAAATGCCTCCAGACTTCAGGATGTCTACTGGTCATGTGATCTCTGTCCCCTGCGAAGACGCTGGTTTTCCATGAAAGTCAAACAAAACATGATAATTGATGGATACTCTTTCATGAAAGTTCAAAGCAGTGAAACAGGTTCCTAAGATTTCACCTGTATTCCAGAGAGACCACATTCTCATCTCATAACTTTATCAAAATTCTTCTAGTTCCCTTTTGCCAGAATCTAGCCCCAAGACTCTCCTTGGGCTTCAAAATCACTGCAGATGGTGACTGCAGCCATGAAATTAAAAGACACTTGCTTCTTGGAAGAAAAGCTATGACTAACCTAGACAGCAGAGACATTCCTTTGCAGACAAAGGTCCGCCTAGTCAAGGCTATGTTTTTTCCAGTAGCCATGTATGGATGTGAGAGTTGGACTATAAAGAAAGCTGAGTGCAGAAGAATTGACGCTTTTAAACTGTGGTGTTGGAGAAGACTCTTGAGAGTCCCTTGGACTGCAAGATCAAACCAGTCCATCCTAAAGGAAATCAGTCCTGAATATTCATTAGAAGGACTGATGTTGAAGCTGAAACGCCAATACTTTGGTCACCTGATGCAAAGAGCTGACTCATTTGAAAAGACCCTGATGCTGAGAAAGATTGAAGGCAGGAGGAGAAGGGGGCGACAGAGGATGAGATGGTTGGATGGCATCACCAACTCAATGGACATGAGTTTGACTAAACTCCGGGAGGTGGTGAAGGACAGGGAAGCCTGGCGTGCTGCAGTCCGCTGGGTCTCAAAGAGTCAGACACGACTGAGCTACTGAACTGAGCCCCAAGAGAAAAGTGCTGACACGCTGGGGTATCTCACAGGCTTGCTGTATATGAAGTACCATTGATGGAGCATCCTGACAAGCCAGTCAAGGCAAGTTCATGGAAATCCGAGGTGTGCTAGTCTTCCTGCTGTTCCCTGGGTCTCGTAACAGTGCCGTGATCTTCAGACTGCCAGCCCTTAAGTGGATTGTTCCACTGACAATCACACTCACAACTCAAGGGAAACATGAATCTCGGATTGGAGACAGGCAGATGTATAGCGCATTTTTCACCCTTCCTATCACAAATGATCCAAAACCCGGTCTCTCAATCAAGCGGCTCTGAGGGTCACAGAGGCCGGTTCCCTGGGATGAGCTCCTCCGGCCTCATGTACAGACCCTGGCATCAGGGACCTTCCTGACACGCAGTCATGTCTGCTCGCTGACACTCCCGTGTTACGTGCAAGTAAAAATCAGACATTCTATTTAGCACGTAAGAGAAGACTGCTCTCCTCTTCACCGCTGCGCCCCTGGCGCGGTGTGTCCTTACGCCGCAGAGAGGATCGGGCTGTCACCTGAGGGGCCTCGGGGAGATGTGCCCCCCGCAGCACAGCATTAGAGCCTGTCACAGGGCCTTCAGACAGCCTGAACTGAACGAAGATCGTGAAATCTTCACAGGCAGCTGGACCTCAGGGGTCGGAGAAAAGAGGCGGATTCTCTGTGCTTCTTGGAGAAATGTGATAACTTGCTCTTCACACGGCTGGTCTTTAGCAGAGCACACCTGGAAAAGAGAAGACTTTAAATTGTTCAGACCTGAAAAACCAGAAATACGTCCCGGAGAGCTTGTCCAGAAATCTTAACAGAAACTCACTGGGAACATCTGACCCTCAGAGCCCGGAAGTCCAGGAGGGTTTGTGACTTTCCTGCAGGTTTCACACGAAGCGTTCTCACTGCACCTGGATGGGGAGGGACTCGGAGGAAGTGAGTGTTGGTCGCTCACTCGTGTCCGACCCTTTGCAACCCGTGGACTGCAGCCCGCCAGGCCCCTCTGTCCATGGAGTTCTCCAGGCACGAACACTGGAGCGGGTTGCCATGCCCTCCTCCAGCGGATCTTCCCAACCCGGGGACTGAACCACGGTCTCTTGCATTGCAGGAGGGCTCTTTACTGCCTGAGCCACCAGGGAAGCCCTTTAAGGAACTTAAAGGAATGTCGTGGCAAATCCTCATTACATGGTAAATTAACTCATGATTTAGTTGCTTCACAAATCAGGATTTTTATGCACTTATCTTGATTGTTTTTATGCATTCTTACCTTGAGGTGTACCTGACCTTCAACTGCAGAACAATAACATTAGCCACCGCCTTGATGGAGACCTCCCAAGTGGTTGGTTTTGTATACACTAACTCAGTTGATCCTAGCTCCTAATTTTGAGGGATTTCCATAAAGGCCTGGTCACAGATACAGAAGGGGAAATAGCAGTCCACCACTGAGAAAGGGTAGACCTCACTTCAATACTGGCAGTATCGTCTATTGTATCCTTGGGTTGCTTTTCGGGTGCGTTTGGTAAAAAAGGCAGACTTTGTTGCTGATGCTCTGGACCCTGTAAAAGGCTGCAGAGAAGTGCCTTACAGACCTAAGGGGTTGATCAGGGTCATGGACACAGGGTCCCCTGGATGACGGCAGGAGCGTGGCCGAGGGAGGGGGCACTCGAGACCACCTCACCCGTGAGGCTGACTTTCCCACCTGAGACAGATCCGTGGGAGAAACAGTTCAGAAGGAAAAATAATTAAAGGGAAATCAAGCTGAGCACAATGATGCGTCCTGCACGATCACGTTCACGAGGAAATGTGATGTCCTGGAAAAAATGGGCTTCTCTACAGGAGGATGTTTTACTCTCTTGAGTCTTTTTTCCCCTTCATTTCAGGCCTGAACCCCCACTTGCTCTCTTCTCGAGGCCTGGGCTTGGCAGCTGGTGCAGCGTGCACAGGGTTTCTGGGTTGTCAGAGGCCCTCCCTCTGGGGCAGACTGGACCCCTCTCTCTGCAAAGCTGGACAGCCGCCCCCAGTCTCCTGCAGGCGCCGGGCAAGTGACGGGAGTGGCCGTCCTGCACCTGTGCCTGCAGGAATTCTGCTCTTCCCCTGAGGACTCTCAAGCACAGGTGTCAGGGCAAGCACTGCGCGGGCCAGGGTATTTCTGATGCCAGCGAGGCCTTGCAGCAGCAGCCAGCTGGGAGAGCTGGGCTCTAACGCACCCCTATATACCCTGACGTTCCTCCCGCAGCCCACCCGGGCCCCCTCAGGAGCTGGTGCCCACAGAGACCTCCTTGCCCCCCGGAACCCAGCCCCACAAAGCCCCCCAAGCCGGCCCTTCAGATGAGGGGTGTGCCCACCAGTCAGGGTCTGTATTCCGGGAGCTTCTGAAGCCAGTACCTGGAGCCGGTCCCTGCGCCTTCCGCAAGAGCATCCGCCCAGCACCCGTCAACTCGGCTTCGGTCGTGTATGTGTGTGTGTGTGTGATCAGTTCTCATCTGCAGAATCCCAGCTTGGCGATGTGGGCACCCTGCTGTCTGCTTTTCAGATACATCAGCCACCTGGCTCCTTCTGAGAGTCCGGGGAGAAGGGGATGGGGGCACAGAGAGGCAGACTGCATGCAGAGCAGACGGGTCGTGGCCGGAGCCGGGAGCATCCATGTCCAGGACACGGGGTGACCGCCGGATACAGAGGGGCACAGTTACAGGCTCTGGTGAACCCTCTCAGGCTTCGCTGAAGATGAAACCTTTCCCTTTGTGAGGGTCCATGACCCCCAGCTGATTCCCCTGTTTGTAGGGGCCTTCCTTGTGAGGACTGCACTGGGATGAGAAGACACACAGCACATGACTGTTTTGTTTTCATTCAAGAGTCTGTTTTCACGGCAAACCTGGCTCCCCGTCTGGAGGAGTGACGGCGCCCCTGCCCTCCCTGCGGCGTCTCTGACCCCCCATCCTCCCTGCGGCGTCTCTGACTCTCCTGTCCTCCCTGCGGAGTCCCCGGGCCCAGCATCTCTGACCCCCGTCCTCCCTGCGGCGTCTCTGACCCCCCGTCCTCCCTGCGGCCTCTCTGACCCCCGTCCTCCCTGCGGCCTCTCTGACCCTCCCGCCCCCCCAGCCCCGTCCCCCCCGCAGTCCCCGGGCCCCGCATCTCTGACCCCCATCCTCCCTGCGGCCTCTCTGACCCCCGTCCTCCCTGCGGCGTCTCTGACCCCCCGTCCTCCCTGCGGCCTCTCTGACCCCCGTCCTCCCTGCGGCCTCTCTGACCCCCCGCCCCCGCAGGCATCCTCCCCACAGTCCCCGGGCCCCGCATCTCTGACCCCCATCCTCCCTGCGGCCTCTCTGACCCCCGTCCTCCCTGCGGCCTTTCTGACCCCCCGCCCCGCAGGCATAGAGAACGCCGAGGACATCAGGCAGCTGGACGAGGAGATCAAGGAGCTGAGCGAGTCCAACTCCCAGATGGAGGCCGACATGATCAAGCTCAGGACTCAGGTAACAGTTTCTGCGGCCCCCAACCGAGCGGCCCCGGAGACCCCAGGCCCCCAGGGCTGTGTCTCCCCTGGTCTGCGCCCGGTCTCCCCTTTGCTGTTTCGTCCTTTCCTTGATCTTCTCTTGAGGTGATTTCAGTGGCGAAATCTGCCGTTGCCCGGGGCCCCTGGCGGACTAGTGTTCGCTCGTGTCGCAGTGTCAGCGGAGCGTGGCTCGCGGCGGCGGGTCCCGAGGGCCGCCGGTCCCTGCAGGGGGCGAGCCCGGCCCTCGGAGGTGAAGGCTGGGCCGCCCTGTCCTCAGGGAACACTGAGCCCCCGCCCCGGGCTCCAGGGCCGCCCGTGTCCACGCAGACTCCCGGCGAGGCTGCTGGGTGGGCCAGGTCCGATCTCCACCGAGCCCCTGCTGGAGGCCTGAGCCCAGGTGCCTTGTCCTGACCCCACGTGCTCACAGTGGCCGCACAGGACGTGCACACACCAGATCACGCGTGTGGCCTGCGATGGCTGAGCCGAGGCTGCGGAGCTGCAGGCCCAGGATGCCTGGCTCAGCTGACCCCAGGGCTGTGCCCCCCGAGGCTCCGGGGCAGGCCCCCCCCGGTGTGGTCACAGGTGACACTGGGGGGGGCCCCGTCCTGCACAGACTGCCCCCCCACGTGGTCAGATCCCCCCTCCCCAGCCGTCCCCCTGGTGTGGTCACAGGTGACACCGGGGCCCCCGTCCTGCATAGATGCCCCCCCTCCCTGTGGTCAGATACCCCTCCCCTGCCATCCCCCCAGTGTGGTCACAGGTGACACCGGGGCCCCCATCCTGCACAGACCGCCCCCCCATGGTCAGATCCCCCCTCCCCAGCCGCCCCCCCGGTGTGGTCCCCCCTCCCCAGCCGACCCCCTGGTGTGGTCACAGGTGACACCAGGGGGGGGCCCCGTCCTGCACAGACTGCCCCCCCACCGTGGTCAGATCCCCCCTCCCCAGCCGTCCCCCCGGTGTGGTCACAGGTGACACCGGGGCCCCCGTCCTGCTTGGACCCCCGTCCCAGAGGCCAGATCCCCCCTCCCCAGCCATCCCCCCAGTGTGGTCACAGGTGACACCAGGGGGGCCCCCATCCTGCACAGACCGCCCCCCCATGGTCAGATTCCCCCTTCCCAGCCATCCCCCCAGTGTGGTCACAGGTGACACCATCCTGCTTGGACCCCCGTCCCAGAGGCCAGATCCCCCCTCCCCTGCCGCCCCCACGGTGCCAGTGATGCGCAGGGAGGGGGAGGCTCTCGCTGCTGTGCTGTGACCGGTGGTGAAGGCAGAGCTCAGCAGGGCCCCTGACCACACTGGACACCCACACACAGCCCCCCACCCAGCCTCTGGGGTGGTTAAGAGGCAAAGGTCATGGTGCCTGCCACCCCCACCCCCAGCCTGGAGCCCAGACCGCCCGAGCCTCACCCTTATCTGTGTTACCTACGGGCCCCGTGTGAGCGCTCCATGCAAAAGCAGGCTCTGGTTCTGCTGCTTCGAAGGCGTGAATGCCAGTCTGACCCGTATTTTCCTCCTTCAGAGGCTGCAGGAGGCCAGGGTCCCTGCAGGGTCCTGGGTCCTGAGCTCAGAAGAGCCCAGTGATCTCTCCATCAAAAGTGCTTAGGACAGGAGCTTCCCTGGCGGTCCAGTGCGAAGACTCGGCATTTCCACGGCAAGGGGCACAGGTTCAATCCCCGGTCAGGGAACTAAGAGCCCTAAAGCTTTAAGCCTTGGCCAAAAAAAAATTTTTTTTCAAGTGTAGAATTACGTATACCTTCTGTCTCAACAAATCAGTGATCGCTTAGCTCTGCGTTTCTCTCTTACACATCTTAGCTCTATCCTGAGCCCGGGCTAGAGGCCGTGTACACATGCGCACACAGTCCCGGGTTCTCATCCCTCCACTGCAGGAAGCTGCTGCTTGCCGCACACATGGACGAGGGTGCTGCCAGTAGCAGGGGGGCCTGTCCTCCTGCCCTCCCCAGGCTGAGGACCTTGAGCTGACAGCACGGGGCTCCTGAGCCGCAGAACAGGCTGCCTCCAGCCCCTCCCCGAGCCCTGGGTGCCCTGGACGGAGGGCTGGGCCGTTCCTCCCTCAGAGCCAGCCTTGGCCTCTCCTGGGCTGGATGATGCCAGATGCCCGGTACCCACGGCTGCCTCAGGGTGGGCCTTGAGAGGAAGGCAGCGGCCCCACCCTCCTGCTGGGAGCCCCGCGGGAGCCCCTCCACCCCAGTGGGCCAACCTCGGGGTATGCTGACCCCCCTGGCAGCACTCTGTCCGCCCCACCGTTCCACCTGGGCCCCAAGTCCCAGCAGTCACTGGGGTGCTAGGTTTTGATCTGATCCCTGCTGGGTCAGAAGCCCGGACAACGAGTGTCCTTCCACGAGAAACACTCACCCACAGACGTGCCTACTGATAAGTGTTGTCACTCCTGAATCCACAGAGAGCCAGATTTCACCTGGCGAAACTCAGAAAGCTGAAGCCAGGGGCTCCCTCGGACCCCAACTACTTGGGATCCTTCGATGTGAGCAGGGACACCCTATGTGAGAAATCGAAGTTTAGAGCTGATGAGCAGAGATTCGGGTAATTCCGGGCAGTCGGCTGTTACCGTCCGGAGGCGCCAGGCTGTGAGCTTGGCGTACGGCAGGCAGTCCTGCTTCTGCGTGTCCCCTCTGAGGCCAGCCTGGGGACCCGTGGAGGCCGGCACACACGCTGTGGCCTCCAGGAGCGCCCTGTTTGGTTCCATCGCTGGGTCCCTGCAACCTTCGCAGAGCAGGCCACTCTCCAGCCTGCCGTGCAGTGAGTAAGGGCTGGTTGTCTGGCAGCAGGCGGAGGCCAGAAAGCTTCACAGCGATGGTTACATTCTCTCTGGGTTTTTAGAGGAAGGTAGAGCGGTCAGGAAGCCATGCCAGACCCTTCTCTGAAGTAGGGAAGCAGTGACACCATACAGGCCACTAGGGACCTCTGTCTCGTGACTATGGAGACGATCAGTTCAGTCACTCAGTCGTGTCTGACTCTTTGCTACCTCATGAACCACAGCACGCCAGGCCTCCCTGTCCATCACCAACTCCCAGAGTTTACACACACGCGTGTCCATCGAGTCGGTGATGCCATCCAACCACCTCATCCTCTGTTGTCCCCTTCTCCTCCTGCCCCCAATCCTTCCCAGCATCAGGAATTCCCAGCATTCAAATAAGTCAGCTCTTCACATCAGGTGACCAAAGGATTGGAGTTTCAGCTTCAGCATCAGTCCCTCCAAGGAATAGTCAGGACTGATTTCCTTTAGGATGGACTGGTTGGATCTCCTTGCAGTCCAAGGGACTCTCAAGAGTCTTCTCCAACACCACAGTTCAAAACCTCAGTTCTTCAGCACTCAGGTTTTTTTATACTACAACTTTCACATCCATACATGACTACTGGAAAAACCATAGCTTTCACTAGAAGGACCTTTGTTGGCAAAGTAATGGCTCTGCTTTTTAATATTCTGTCTAGATTGGTCATAGCTTGTCTTCCAAGGAGCAAGCATCTTTTAATTTCAGAGCTGCAGTTACCATCTGCAGTAATTTTGGAGACCAAGAAAATAAAGTCTGTCGGTGTTTCCACTGTTTCCCCATCTATTTGCCATGAAGTGATGGGAGGAGATGCCATCATCTTAGTTTTCTGAATGTTGAGCTTTAAGCCAGCTTTTTCACTCTCCTCTTTCACTTTCATCAAGAGGCTCTTCAGTTACTTTTTGCTTTCTGCCATAAAGGTGGTGTCATCTGCGTATCTGAGGTTATTTATTTTTCTACCTGCAATCTTGATTCCAGCTTGTGCTTCCTCCAGCCCAGCATTTCTCATGATGTACTCTGCATATAAGTTAAATAAGCAGGGTGACAATATACAGCCTTAATGTATTCCTTTCCCAGTTTGGAACCAGTCTGTTGTCCCACGTCCAGTTCTAACTGTTGCTTCTTGACCTACGTACAGATTTCTCAGGAGGCAGGTAAGGTGGTCTGCTATTCCCATCTCTTTCAGAATTTTCCACAGTTCGCTGTGACCCACACAGTCAAAGGCTTTGGTGTAGTCAATAAAGCAGAAGTAGATGTTTTTCTAGAAAGGATAGTGACTCACAAATAAAGCAATATTTCAAGACGTCTCTGCGCAGTATTAGATTTAGCCTAAGAAGAAGATGTGTTAGCCCCATGTCCTAAGATACTAATCCAGATAGATCGTCCCGTCACGCCAGCAGAAAGGCCTGGGTGGTGCAAGGCCAGTCCTCACGTGATTGTTTGTGCACAGTGACAAGAAGAGCTTTTAAAAGACCGAATGAAAGCTGACAGAACCTGGGAACCTAGCCCGCCTTAGTGCACCGATTCCTTTTCAGAGAGACCAGCTGTTAGGGTCCACTTGCCACTTGCTCAGTGTGAGGACTCAAAGCACACAAAGTGACCCCTTCAGCGTCCAGTCCTTCGCCGGAAACCTCTGGATTCGAGCGGAGAGGCTGCGCCCCTGCGTGGGCCGCCGAGGCCTCCCACTGGGGGCGGCTCGTGTTACATGTCGCGCGGTCTGTGCATTGCAGATCACCACCATGGAGTCCAGCCTCAAGACCATTGAGGAGGAAAACAAGGTGATCGAGCAGCAGAATGAGTCGCTCCTCCACGAGCTCGCCAACCTCAGCCAGTCTCTGATCCACAGCCTCGCCAACATCCAGCTGCCGCACATGGTAAGTGACCGGCGCCGGGCGGAGGCCCCCGGGGGCCGCGCAGTGCACATCCTAGCGTAGCTGTCTGTCTGTTCTGTCCTCGTGGTTCTCCAGACCTCGGATGCTTGCGGTTACCTCCCCCAAACCATAACATTAACCGCTCTGGTGGGGCTGATCGGTAAATCCCCTAAGGTTAAGTTGCTCTGAAAGGCCTCTTAAGTACGATAAGGACAGTGGCGTTAGGCTGGGATACTAATTTATGCTGATGTGAATATCCTATTAAGAAAATAAAAGTTGCATATGAACTACTATTTAATATCTCGTAGGATCCAATCAATGAACAAAATTTTGATGCATACGTGACTACTTTGACGGACATGTATACAAATCAAGACCGTTATCAGAGCCCAGAAAATAAAGCTCTACTGGAAAATATAAAGCAGGCTGTGAGAGGAATTCAGGTCTGAACAGCTGCTGTAGTGACGGAATCTTGCTTAAAAAGGACGCCTCTTGTTCTTTGCTGCTGAAATTTACCAGAAAGTGTTATATATTTATTTCTGTTTGAAACAGTGTTATGCTTACAAGACTTCATAATGATTTTATGTCTTGCTTTAAAGATAGTACCTGCAGAATAGTTTTGGAATACATTCACATTTTTGTACGTTTTCATATAAGCTGACATAGTGTGACATGCCATGTAATGTTTATAGCTGCTAATGTATGCACATTTGGGGGTATATATATTTCTGAAGAGGTAAGCTGATCAAAATAAATAGAGTGTACATTCTTTTTAATGCTTTAGTGATTAAATGTCTAGTATTTTGAACTGAAATGGACACACACACAAGGAAACAGCTCTGAATGATCGTTTGGTGGCCCCGCAGCCACTTTTTAGATGTTATCGTTTTGCCTCATGTTCGAGGATCTTACGGAGTTTAAGAAATACATTTTGTGTGCATATTGTTTCATAGCAAGAATTGGTTGCAAAAAAATGCTTTATTTTTGAACAATGCTTGGAAATATTATGTGATTTTTTTGTTTGTTTGTTTTAGGAGGATGGTGTATGGTGGGGGCAATAAATGAGGTTTTTTGCATTCCAAGGACATGGCATGTGGAGTAACTGTAAGGAATGAGATAAGTAATTTATTGTCAGACAACATCAAGCCATGGGAGCTTGGCAGAAGATTCAAAGCAGCTTAAACAGCGCTTTTAAATTAACTCCCGAGCGCTACACGGTGTGACGGTGGGACCTTCCGCTAAGACAGCGGCAGAGCGGAGGTGGTGGCCCGAAGACCCCTCCTCCTCTCTCGGCCGCTTGGAGCAACCTTCTCCTCCCCCCGAGGGCTCCTGCCCTCTGAACCGCCTGTCACCCGGCAGAATCCGTGTTTTCCTTTGCGCTCAAAGATCCTTTGAGACTCTTTCTTTCCCCTTCCACCTTATCCAGTTACCATTCCTGTTGTTGTCGCTGTCGTGAGTTTCCCGTGGGGGATACAGGCAGACGGCGTGGCAGTCCTCGCGCGATCGGGCTGAGCTGCGGGCCGGCCTGGGTGGGAAAGCGGCTCGGACAAGCGCCCCGGCCCAGCGCTGGCTTCGAGGAAGCCCGCGTCCTGTTCAGAGGCGGGAGCGCGCGCCCCACGTGCAGTCCCGCCCGCTGGAGGCCCGCGGGCCGCAGGACGTTCGCGTAGCTTTGTTTGCTGGTCGTGACCTTCTCTAGGAACGAATGCAATCAGACGGTGGGAGTAACTAAATGCCCTTCAGCACTTTTTTGCTTTACACTAGATCATCTCAGACTCGTTTCCGTCCTGGAGACTGACTGTTCCCCCGACGACTGCACTCCGCGATGCGATGCGTAAGACCGCTTTCCACCGCCGCGCTCCCCTCTCCTCATGCATCCCCGGGACAACCTGTCGTGTTACCGATTGCTGTTGACTTGATTTACATGTGATAGCATTCTTCCTTCCATGTCTTGATGTTATGCAGGAAGTACAAAAGTACTTTAAAATTTTGTTATGAAAAAAAAAAAAGATGGGTTTTGTAAAAATAAAAAAAAAAATATTTTTAGCAGAACAGGACTTACAGGGTCATTGTCCCCACAATGTGCCAGTCGACTATTTGCACTTACCTTGTCCTATATATCCGTACGGAGGTGTGCAATTCCCGTGTCAGTAGCCTCGTGACTCTGACCCTGGAGGAATCTGAGGAGGCCTCCCGGCTGACCTGATGACGCTACGGGAGATTACAGGGACCTCACCGCAAATACTCTGATACAATACTCAACCTCGGTATATATATATGTATAAATACATGTACATCCCAGCGGCACTTTATACTGCTCACTGTACAAAAGCTAACAGTTTTCCAGGAGGACTTTAATAATTAGCTGGGAGAAGATTGTGTAATGACTCGGGCGCCACAGCGCCTTCTCTGCGGGGCCCTCTTTCTGTTGGGTGATTAGTTGTAGCTGCCCTGCTCAGAATTGCCTTTTTGAGAGCTGAAGCCAGGTGCGCCTCGCCACCTGCGGCCACATACCCCGTCCGGGGCCCCGGCCTCCTCGCGGGCCCCCGTTGTTCATATCGGCACATGCATCTCCCCGCCCCGTCGTTGTCTGCAGCTTCTTTGCCAATTATAGTGATGCTTTTCGTAGCGTAATAGGTAGTATCAGTTTGGGATTCTAATTGTTCTCACCTATGTACAATGGAAAGGGGTTTTAAGCACAAATCTGCTGCTCATCTAATGTTGGTACATAATATCAAATCAAAGTTATCTGTGACTATTATATAGGGATCACAAAAGTGTCACATATTAGAATGCTGACCTTTCATATGGAATTATTGTGAGTCATCAGAGTTTATTTATTATAACTTATTGTTCATATTCATTTCTAAGTTAATTTAAGTAATCATTTATTAAGACAGAATTTTGTATAAATATTTATCGTGCTCTCTGTGGAACTGAAGTTTGATTTATTTTTGTACTACACGGCATGGGTTTGTTGACACTTTAATTTTGCTATAAATGTGTGGAATCACAAGTTGCAGTGATATTCATTTTTAAATTGTGAACTTTGTACAAATTTTGTCATGCTGGATGTTAACACATCTTACTCTAAATAAAAAAGGTGTTACCACATTTGTAGCACGAAGGGTCTCTACCTGCGTGTGCGTCTTCACTGAGTCTGGAAGGGTGTGTGGGGTCTGGGGCCCGGCAGGGCCCCAGGGCGCTTCTCTCCAGCCACGGCCACCTCCGCGACAACGTTGCCGCAGGCTGATCTGTCTACCCCAAGGCCCGTGAGCACAGATCGCGCAGGTCCCGGAGGCGCTGCCCCTGAGCTTGTCCAGATGCCACTGTGACACCTCTTGCCATCACCCCTACTATCTCCTCCTGAGGTCATGTCTGATGCGGGCATCCCCCCAGAGCAGGGACATCCTCACAGATGCAGACACCCCTACTGATGGACACGCGGTCATCATGCAGCATGCATCCACATCCCAAGGTTCATGTCCATCACGGATCTCTCCGGGTCTGGGGTGCAGAGGCTCACAGCTCTCGCAGCTGCCACGGGGCCACCCCTCTCCCCTCAGCACTGAGCGGCTCCCCGGCCTCCCCAGAGTCCCAGCAGCATCTCATGCTCCGAGATTCCACACACTCTGAGCCTGTCTTCCAGCAGGTGTTGCCCATATTTTACACCTGGCACTGGCTCAGCTGCACCAGGGCAGATGGAGCGTGTTCTCCTGGGAGTGGGATTTAGGGTCCCGCCACCCTGTGTCTTCAGACCATCGGGCGCACCTCTGTGAAAGGGCGTGTCTTCAGGATCATGGACGTTCAAGCAGATGGCAGGACACTGAGGAGCTGCTGTCGTGATTGAAATCTTTCAGCTTGGTGGTTGAAAGCATCTTGCCCTGAGAATCAGTATAAACATCACGGAAAGCAGGTTAGCAAGAAGGTCAGAAATCTTACAGAATTCTTGACCCAGTAATTCCAGATGTCCCTCCTAAAATACCAAAACAATTGAAAGTGCACTGAAATAAGTGAAACCAACCCCCAAAGTCCTAGTACAGAGGAAGGTTGAAGCAGATGAAATAAAGGCACTTTATGGAACATCATGGTGTCACCAGAAATGACAGCCACAAATCCGCACTATAGGATGCTTGTGATAAAGTGAACAGCACAGAAAATGGAACGGTAAGGAGGTTAAGAAGCAGCTGAGTGGCAAGAAGCCTGGGTCAAACCGATGTGCGTCAGTGGTTCTCGTGGTCCCGCCAGCCCCCCGAGCCTGCGGGGGGGGTCTGTCCAGTCCTGTTCTCCCCTTCAGCCCCCGAGTAGCAAACCAAAGCTGGGGAATGACTGGTCCCTGGGAAGCCAAAGTGGGGGGCAGGGAGGCAGACCAGAAGCCAGGGTCCCTCTAGTGAGAATGGGGTGACGGGGGAGCAGCCCACACAGGTCCCCGGGCCTCTGGTCTGAAACCGCCCTCCTGGTGGATCTTGCCGGGCATGTTCCAGCAGGGCAGGCTGCGACCACACTTTTCTCACCCCGGACCACGGAGTGATTTTTTAGAAAGTAAACAGCCGAAGTGAGGATTCCAGGGTGTTTGGGAGAAGAGGCTCGGAGGTCACCCCACATTCTGCACCACGTGCCTCCCCACATGCCCCCAGGTCACCCCACATTCCGCACCATGCACCCTGGGGTCACCCCACACTCCACACCACACGCCCCCAGCCCTGGGCAGTGAGGAGGCCTGGATGGAGCGGATGCTCTGTGGGCCCAGGACTCCACTGGCAGCTCCCCTCTGAGCCCAGAGCAGCCTCCTGCCTCCTCCCGGGAGCCCTGTCCGCAGGAAGGAAGGGGGGATGTCCCTCCCCTGGGACCCTGTCTCCAGGAGCAGAAGCCCTCAGTGAGCACGGAGCATCTCGGCTCCCTGGGGCCTGGTCCCTGGGGCTCTCTTTGCGGCCAGAGGCCCGGTGCCGTCACGGTCCGGGGACGGTCCACTCCCTCCATGCTCAGCTCCAGTGCTGCGGACCTTTCAGCACAGCAGAGCAAGAGGGGAGCCCCGGGCCCGAAGCAAGTTAAAAGGTACATCGAGGAAAACAAACGAGATTCTTTGTCCTTTCTTCTTTTACGTTTGCACAGCTTTAGATCTAGAAGTTTCTTCCCAAAAGCCGGCGCACAGATTCTCTCCAAGTGATCAGGTCGTGAGCCTGTTTCCTTCTGTGTGTGGCTCGTCCCTCCCAGCCCAGTTCTACTGGGATGTAATCAACATGCATCCCCGTGTCTGTGTAAGGTGCGCAGTGTGACGGTGGGACACTTGCACTGTGAACTGGTCATGTTCCGCATTTATCCCCTCACATAGACACAATGCAGAGAAAGGGCCAGAAAGAAGCAACAATCCTTTCTTTCCTCTGAGATGAGGGCTCATGGGGCCCACGGTCCTCAGGCCCTACAGCAGCTTGAGCTCTGCTCCCGGTTCTGTGGCTGTCCCAGCACCTGCTCACCCTGTAACTAGGAGTTTGCACCTCCCTCCCATTACCTGGGTCGGGAAGATGCCCTGGAGAAGGGACAGGCTGCCCACTCCAGTATTCCTGGGCTTCCCAGGGGCTCAGAGGTTAAAGCATCTGCCTGCAATGCGGGAGACCCGGGTTCAATCCCTGGGTTGGGAAGTTCCCTGGAGAAGGGAAAGGCTACCCACTCCAGTATTCTGGTCTGGAGAAATCCATGGACTGTATAGTCCCTGGGGTCGCAAAGAGTCAGACATGACTGAGCGACTTTCACTTTCACCAAAATGCCCCAAAAGTTATTGCTCATTGTACAAAGTGAACAGAAAGTAAAATCAACATGAAGATCAATTCCCACCAGAATCACCGCAGATAAGGCAAACCTGCCTGATGCGATGAAGCCAACACATCCCAACCCTTGGGGGCTCCTTTTTCGCGTCTGATGCAGCATCCTGTGCTGCAGGATGTCCCAAGGAGCCCTGGCTCATGTCCGACCAAACGCGGTGATCTCCTCTTTATCTTTTTATCTCCTCTTTATCAGGGTAGAGTCATCTCCAGACTCTGATCTCAGCCTCAGTTCTGAATTTTCTTCTGACTTTCTTTTCCTTATCTACATGTTTGCTTTTTCTTTGTATGTAATATAAATACTCCTTAAGTTGCCTCAAAATTATTTTTTGAGTAAGGAAAGATTTTTGAGTTGAGCTCAGACATGGTAAAAGATTTGGGATGAAAATCCAGTTGATTTTTTCTTTTTTCAGTTTAACAGAAGTAGGTTCCTGATGATAAAGGAGCAAGAAGGTAATAGATTATTTGAGAAGGTAATAGATTATCAACAAGATGATCTAGAAAATAAGACGTTAAAGTTGAAGAACAATTAATCAGTCGATCTAATAAAAAAAATGGAAAACGTTATTTGAGCCAGATTCAAGGATTATGACCTGAAGAGCACCTCAGAAAGCCCTGAGAACTGCTCCACCCACCAGAAATCAAGGGACAGTTATGCACGATTTTTGAGACAGAGGGCTCTATAGGAAATTCAGAGTACATAGTCAGATCCAAATGTCATCATTGCGGTGGTTCACGTGACCTCTTCTGAGATTAACAACAAGTGCTGTCGATAAAGAGTCGTCTTACTGATGCTGGCGGCAGGCTGCTCTCTAGCTGAGTGGGTATCCCTGCTGATGTGGTGGTCTGGGTGATGCCTTATGCAGGAGAGGAGGCCAGAGGACAGAGAAAACTTTTCATGCTTAACTTTTCCTTGTCTCGTCACAAAACCCGAGTTTCGTTTCACATCAATGTTCACAGGTGTTGCTGCTCCCTTGCCCGCCGCTGCAGACCCGCACGTGTCTCCTTGAAATCTCCCTCCCTCGCCTGCGTTGTGCTCCACCTGCTGCCACACTGATGGGCAACCAGACTTCCTGCTCCCGCCTTTCGTCTCCAGGGCTGGAGGAGCTGGAACTCTGCAGTTCACTTGTGCTGGGAATCACATCTTATCATTTGCTGTACTGCCAAAAATATTTCTGGGAATCCAGTGAAGTGTTGATTCGAAAATGTTCTCAAATACTTTCGTCTTATCTGATAAAAGCTCGAAAGATTAGCTCATGGGCACATTTTTGAATTCTTTCTTTCCTGCAGAACAAGGGGGAGAATCCCTTTCACTTTCCAGAATGAGAACATGTCTCCTGAGTCTGGATCTGAATCTCAGCCTATCTCATCCTCATCCACGGACGGGCTCAGTGTCTTAGCTCCTCCCCACCCACCTGAGGCTGCACCTCCCCCCGAGTCTGGTCCTGACTTGGGCCAGGGTCCTCCACGTGCTACCGAGTTGATTTGTGGGGACCCTGCTCAGGCCCCGGCCAGGCCTCGGCTCCCTGCCTTGGCAGGAGACATTCCCTTTCCATTCAGGCTGCAGCAGCCAAGACCAAAGTCGGGACCAACACAGTCCAGGCTTTATTCAGCGGCCGAAGGACAGAAAAGCAGGAACCAAGTTCACAGAGCAATTCTCACCCAGCCCAGAAAGGGCGGCTTAAGTCTCAGGAGTAGAGAGGAGGAGCGATGCTACCGACAGGGAGGCATCGGGGCTTTTCCGAGGGAGCAGGCTGCCACCCCGTCTCATCCTTCTTCTGCCTGCATCCTCCACGGCTGCTGGTAGGTTTGACATCTAGTGTCTAAAGTAGTAAAGGCAGCTCTGAATGAGGCTCGCACTCTGCTGGAGGTCAGACTTGTCAGCATCGCGGTCCCCGCTGGTTCCATCTGGGTTTGTTTCGTCGGTCTGTGTCTCCACTCTTGTCTCTGGACACTTTGATTCAGAGTTCTACGTCCGCTCCTGCTGGAGGTGAGGGTTCCAGGAGCACAGCCCTGCAGGAGCTCTGGCGCTCACGCCCTGGCGCCAGACTGCACCTGCAGGGCTGCGAACGGAGCACGCAGCCGCGTGGCAGCCTCTGCAGGCGGCCCCAGTGGTGGAGCGCCCACCTGCCGATGCAGGAAGGTGCCCTGGAGGAGGCATGAAACCCGCTCCAGCGTTCTTGCAGAGAATCCCACCAACAGAGAAGCCTGGAGGGCTACAGTCCGTGGGGTCAGACACGACCGAGCGACTAACGCTAGCATGAGCAGACCAGCGACGCTGCAGCCGCCCAGCCGCCACAGCCGCCCGGGAAAGTGAGTCCTGGGGGGACTCGGAGTGGGGACACAGGGGCTGCATCCGCCCAACCGCCACAGCCGCCCGGGAAAGTGAGTCCTGGGGGGACTCAGAGGGGAGAGAAAGGAGCTGCAGCCACCCAGGGACAGAGGCGCTCAGGGCGAGAAAGCCCAGGACACCGCCCCACAGGTACCTGAGCTGCACATCAAGGGAGTGATGTCGGTGAGCTGACTCTTGCCTCTTTCCATTCATAGAAAGGGGCTAAATTCATTAACCTGAGATGTTTGGTTTTCTGTAATTAATAGTATCTTTTGATGCTCTGACCACCTGGTCTTTGTTGCAAAAGCTCCCTTAGATCCTGGCTCCTCCCTCACCTCTTCAGAGCTCTCCCTGAGAGCCATCTCAGACTCGCTCCCAGCAAGTCCTCAGCAAGTCAGCCCAGCAAAGCCTCACTCTCAGCTCCCTCTGAGGGTGTCCTCATTCCGGGCTCCCTGGGGACTCACCACCGGGGTGCAACGGCAGCTTCAGTAGCCGGCTGTCTGCATCACTGTTTGCTGATATGGCAGAAACGGTTTTTCATTCACAAGGGAAATCTCCATTTGTAAGGGGTCTCCTGTCTGAGCCAGGAGAGAAAGCTGATACCAAATCACCAGAGATTTAAGTCTGCATGACAACCGTATCTGTATCTGTTAATCATTCTGAGTCCCCTTCCTACAACTGGCTTCTAAACACTCCTTCTCAGGCTTGACTGAAGATGGTGAAAGTGTTCGTCGCTCAGCCATGTTTGACTCTGCGACCACACGGCCTGTAGCCCGCCAGGCTCCTCTGTCCATGGGGATCCTCCAGGCTAGAATACTGGAGTGGGTTGTCATGCCCTCCTCCAGGACCTTCCCCACCCACGGCTTGAAGCCGGGTCTTCTGCACTGCAGGTGGGTCCTCTGCCGTCTGAGCCACCCGGGGAAGCCCAGCTGAAGACGGTACTTAGACCTGAATTCCAAGGCTCTTCTTTAAGGTGCTCCACACCTGGGCGCCTGCCCTATGGACAGGGTAAACTTTCGATTTCCTCTTGCTAATCAGTCATCCTACAAGGGGCCCCCAGCTGATAGCCCAGGAGTGAAAATGGTCAGGACCCTGTGGGGCCCTCTCGGGTTCGAAACGTTTTCTGCGTCCCCTGTTTCTCGCTGGAAAAAGGCTCCAGCCTCCCAGCCCTTCTCTTTGCTCCCAAGAGCAGATTCCAGCAGTACCCAATCAGGGAAGGGAGGGGAGGCCGGGAAGCAAAGCTGCAGCCTTTGGGGGGCGGAGTCCTGTCCCCCCAAGGACTCACAGCGCTGGACACGTGGCACTGCTGCAGGGACCGAGGTCCCTGCCCCGGAGGACGGGCTGCAGGCTGAGCCCAGGGTCCCGAGCACTGCCCTGATCTCCCAGAAGGAAGGCACACACCCTGCACCCCCCGCCCCACAGCCTGCTCATAAAACTGCCCCCTGAAGCCTATTGGGGAGTCTGGATTTCCTGAGAAGAGCCGCCTGCTCCTCCGGCTCAGGCCCGCAGTAAACCTTCCTCTGCTCCAGGCTCAGACGTCCCGGCTGGCCCGGTCTCACATCGGGCGCAGAGCCTTCAGCAGGAGGGCGGCAGGAGGTCAGGAGCAGGCCCCGGCTTGGGAGGGGAGCCCAGGAAAGCACTGTTGAAGGGACACCAGGGAAGCTCTGACTCCTTGGAAAAGACCTTGATGCTGGGAAAGATTGAAGGCAGGAGCAGAAGGGGACGACAAAGGATGAGACGGTTGGATGGCATCACCAACTCAATGGACATGAGTTTGAGTAAACTCCAGGAGGTGGTAATGGACAGGGAAGCCTGGGGTGCTGCAGCTCATGGGGTCGCAAAGAGTCAGACACGACTGAGAGACTGAACTGAACTGACTGAGGGAAGTTCTAGTCTCAGCCCAGCTCCTCACAGCAGACGCTGACCCTGCGGAGCTCTGCTAAGATTTTCTCAAGAAGACCCGAAGGCTGGCTGACGCGGGGAACGCTGGCTGACACCCTGCTCAGGGCTCTGTGGGCGTCTGGATCTGGGCCCCCCAGATACCAACGGCAACGCAGGAGCTCTCCCACCACCCCTGCCCTGCGCCCACATGTGACATTCCTTCTGGAACACCTCGGAGCCACGCGGGCCCAGCTCCTAAGGGGCGGCCATAGCCCCATGGCCGAGCCCACTGCGGCTCTGTCGATTTCAGCCTAAAACGACTCTAAGCAGGTGTATTTAGTCATCTGCTCTGATTCAACAGATGTGAGTTTGAGCAGACTCCGGGAGACGGTGGAGGACAGGGAAGCCTGGCGTGCTGCAGTCTGTGGGGTTGGACACAACTTAATGACTAAATAACAACTCCTTTTCTTTTAAAATGTAAGAAAAGAGGCTCTAGCTGACATAAGGACAGCAGCTTTTCGACAAGTGGATGCAGGAAAGGAAGCCGTGTGGGTTACACTGAACACAGGCACTTGTCAACTGGGAGGGCTGTAACTGGGGAAAAGCTGACCTCAAGCCCATTTTGCTGAGAAGCAGTCTTCTAGTTCAGGACAATAAAAAGACTCATGTGCACAGGGCTTTGCACGCTTTCCTGGGGTGGGGCATCAGATGGCCCTGGAGCGGGGTCGGGGGCCCCGCGTGGCCGACATTCTTGTCTGGGATGAGACCCAGAGCACAGGCGTGCAGGTCCGCGCGTCTGCCTGTGCCCGCCGGTCCTCCACAGACAGCCCTGCACTCGGGAGTCTCAGGCTTATTTGCAGACGTTTCTGGAGCGCAGAGCCCTGCCTGCGCCAGGGAGGGAGCCACACCTAAGCCGGCACGACCCTGCCCCCTTCATCCCCGCAGGGAGCTCCCTGTGAACCAGACCCCAGTCTGGGTCCTTCCCTTCCTTCAGCAGGGGCAGACTGGCGGGGGGCGGCATGAGGACAGGGCCCCGGGCTCACCACCACTCTGCCTGGCTGTCTGTCCAGCACCCACTCCTGCCCAGAACTCAGGATGTGACCTGCTCTGGAAACAGGCCCGCTGCAGACGTGGCCAGCGTCAGGGGAGGGTATCCCAGGCCCTAAGCCTGGGTGTCCCCGTGAGGACAGGGAAACGAGGATGAGGCCAGACCTGGAGAAGCCCTCCTGGAAACGGGCCATGGACGGCTAGCGTGTGCAGCCCAGCACCAGGGACTGCAGAGAGGCGGGAAGGAGCGAACCTTGACCTCTGGCCTTCAGGACTGTTGGGTCAGCCTTCTGCTAGCCACCATGACGCCCTGGAGCACCTCCCTGGAGCATCTCCCTGGAGCACCTCCCCAGCAGCACCTCCCTGGAGCACCTCTCCTGGGGCACCTCCCCAGGGACACCTCCCTGGAGCACCTCCCCAGGAGCACCTCCCCAGGAACACCTCTCTTGGGGCACCTCCCTGGAGCACCTCCCTGGAGCACTTCCCTGGAGCACCTCCCCAGGAGCACCTCCCCAGGAACACCTCTCTTGGGGCACCTCCCTGGAGCACTTCCCTGGAGCACTTCCCCAGAGCATCTCCCCTGGAGCACCTCCACTCCCTCCCCACTGGCTGCCAGCAAGTGGGTGGACGCAGGGCAGGAAGATGCCTGCGAGGCCCAGGGTGGGGGGCGGTCTCAGGCACAGCCAGGTTTTCCAGGGCTGACTCACCGTCTGGGAATGGCCCCCCGGCCTCCAGACCCGAGATGCCTCCCCGCCAGGAGGACACTCGTCCCCGGGCGGGGGGGTGCTCCCACACCTTTTGCCGCGTCCTCAGCACTGCCTATGAGAGTGAGACGGCCTCCTCTCCTGACAGGCGAGAGCCCAGGGCTCCGAGAGGGCGAGACGGGTCGCCAGAGTCACGGAGCTGGGAGGCCGCCGCCCAGCCTGTCTTGTTCCAAACCGCACGCTCCCTTCCTCACAGACTCCTGAAGAGTGATGGGCAGACAGAAGGCAGGCTCGCCCTGGAAGTAGCAGGAAGTCTGGGCCGTCCCTGGGGGCCCCTTGGGCATTTGGTGTCTCCTCAGCACAGCCTGACGCAGGAGGGCCTCGGGGCGGGGGTGGGGGTTGAGCAGGGAGAAACTGGCCGTCAGTCACTTCTGCCAGCTCAGGGCCGTGGCTGCGGGGGCATCGGAGGGTGGGTGACCCCAGGAGTGTGGGCCCCGTGGCCCTAGCAAGTCTCCAGAGAAGGCCAGTGGGCACCAGCGGGGCACAGGCCAGGCCCAGTGACCTGCAGGAGGGGGCCCCACCACCAGCCAGCTCAGGAGGTGAGGTTCCGGGTCAGGGCCTGGTGGGGGTGACGCTGAGTCAGCATCCCATCCCCTCCCTTCCCGTCATGAGCGGTGGGGCCTGGACAAGCTACTACGCTCTTCACAGAGCATCGGGTTTTGCATTTGCAAACTAGGGATACTCACATCTCTTCGGGATGTCACCGAGCTTAGATACTAGAGTATGTGGACAGCAGTCATGTGCAGGCCCAGCCTGAGCCGGCGCGCAGACAGCGGGAGGGTGGGCATCCCATCCTCACGGCCGCGTGATACACTGCAGGGCTCGGGGTGCTGCTCGCAGAGCACTGAGCATTCCTCGGGGACCCCGGTCTCTCTGAGTGCACGTCCAAGCAAGCGGCACAGTCACGCCAGGAAGGAATGCTTATGTAGGACAGATAACAGGATCGGAGGCAGATAAGGAGGTTGGGAAGTGGTCAGCGGAGAGAAATACAAACAGTCACGTGGGCCTGGGCAACAGAAAACCTGGGAGGCTTTGTTGGCCATAGTGAACCAGGAGAACGTCAAGATCCTGGAGGTGTGAGGCCTCCCTGGGCCTCTAGAGGGCGGACGTGGGACACACGGCCCAGGAGGTGCAGAAGCAGAGACAGCCCAGTAGGTAAGTGTCCCTGCTGAACTGGGAGGAGGGGAGGCTGGGAGGCTGGGAGGACAGGGGGAGGACGGGGGAGGGTAGAGTTCACAGAACCCCTCCTGCAGGGTGGGCACTGCTGGAGCACGTTTCAGAGGCTGGCCAGGAGGCTGGAAATTCACGGGGCAGCAGATGCTGAGGCCGTGAGGCAGAATCTCTTCTCCGGGAAACCTCAGTGGTTTCTACTCTAAAGACCTTCAACTGAGTCGATGAGGCTCCCCCACATTACCGAGGGAGCTCCTCTTTGCCCAGGCTCGCCATTGTCAATCTCATCTACAAAACACCTTTAGCACAACACTTGGCTCATGTTTGATCGAACCGCCGGGGTCGACAGCC